ATTTAATATTAATTTTTTCTTTTTTTTTCAATTAGCCCTAACACAAAGCCCATTTCAAATATCCTTAAAGGCTATAGTGTTTTAATACCCTGTACTTGTGTAATGGTGAATCAAGTGATACCCTGTATTTAAGGAGATCTATGCTTATAAGGTGAGTTTGAAACTCTATTTAAGGTCCACCGACTCCATTAGCAGGCGAATCTCTGAGCTCTGAGTGCTTGTGCCCATTGCTATGTTAACTTGTCTTAAATATCGGGTCTGGTAATAGTGCCATATGGCGTAGGCTACGCTTTGGGGCCATTTGAGTCCGTTGGTCAGTGGCCGTTTGGCTCATCTAGGGCCGCGTGGCGCCTCCCAATGTTGCAGTAGCAGCTGCTGCTAAATGCGATGCAAATTGCGAATTATTAAATAAAAAACTCGTTGAAATTGAAAAAATGTAAATGGAATCTATTCGAAATGCTAATACACGCTCGGACCGTAAAGGCTTTCAGAGGGGACCTAGAGAAAGCAGGAGAGTGGGAGAGAGAGAGAGAGAGAGAGAGAGGGAATGTGTGTGTGTGAGAGAGAGAGCGAGTATACTGTGTTCACACACACACACACACACGCACACATAATAGCAAATAATATACATATTCGCATATAAGTGACCAAATTAGATTATCTTCCGAAACATTAAACCGATTTTCATGCAGAGCCTGACAATAATAATAAGAAAACATTAAATGTTGATCACAGAAGGGCGACAACAACAACTGTCACAATAAAAGGATTTGCCACACGCAAATACGCACACTCTACCCCTTCCCCTCCCCATCCCCTGCTCACTATCTCTTTTTATATACGTACGTACGTACATATATGCAGAGTCAAGGCGAAGGATTTAACTTTGACTTAGCAACCCTCACAGGAAGTCAGGCCAACCCCTAACCCCACAACCTGCCACCCCCCACCCCCTTGGCCCAGCTCGCTCGATGTACCCAAAAAGAAGTCATCATTTTTCTGGTCCATCAAATCGTTTAGTTC